TTTTGTTTTGTTTTTGTTGTTGTTGTTGTTTTTGTTTGTTGCAACATAATAAGATAACTGATTCCCCCAAAGAGGCTATTCTAAGTATCGGAAATGAAGACGACTACTTTGCATAACAATGATATCTCACAATGTATAGCACATGCTGCTGTCCACACTATGCATGGGCATAATGCATTGCGCAGTATCAAACGAACAGTACCGCGTCCACTTTGTGCATGGACAAGCACCTTTTTTATCTTTTTTTAACATTACTATTCTGTTAGTTATGACCCCTGGCCCCGATCAAAAAAAGCTTTATGCTAAACGTTAATTCTAGGGATTGCACGAAAGATTCTAGGCCGCGCATATCAAGAGTTCACAGTTCATGTACGTACATTATTTAGCGCATGCGCATGCCCGCGCGTACGTTGTTGTTGGCTTACCGTGCAATTGCAGACTCCAGGCTTGCCCTGTAAAGCCAATATATATGTAAGTCAATGGTGTGGTTAAGGACACAAATTAATTATAAATCTGATGATAAATAAAATTCTTTGTGAAAAGAACGATTGTGCATTGAGTTATCTGAGATCATTTAACGTGCTTCCATCAAATATTCGATGCAAAAGGGATCTAGAGAGACTAAGCACCTAGACTCTTCCACGGTCTCTCATTCGTCCGTTCCGTCTCCACGCTTAGAGACTGTAACGGTACAATGACCGAAAGGACTTATGGGTCCCGAAAACTTGGACTTAGCGTGCTTTGGGAACCAAAATACTCGTGCACAGTCTCTCTCGTTTCAATATTTTCAAGATGGCGGCGAAAACGAGAGAGACTGTGGACGATTATTTTAGTTCCCATAGCACGCCGGGTCCAAGGTTTCGGGACTCATAAGTCCTTTCGGTCATTGTACCGTTACAGTCTCTAAGCGTGGAGACGGAACGGCCGAGCGAGAGACTGTGGAATAGTCACTAAGCACCAAAAGAGTCGCACATGCGCACGGAGCTTCACTCTCACCTGTTTCCCTTCTTTTCCATCTTTTCCATCCTTGCCGTCTTTCCCATTCATTCCGTCGAGCCCGTCTATGCCATTTCTAACACAAACCATAGACGGAGTGGGTTTTGCCATAGACGGAGCGTGGGTCGTTGTGGTAGTTACGGTTTGGTTGTAGGCAGAAACCTGATGAAATAAAACAAAGACTAAGCTTCAGTGTCAAAATCATTAATATCAAGTTAATTTGCGGCGTACAGTAATTTAGTGCAAAACGAAATATCAAGGTAGTTACCATCAATGACAGTGTATGTTCATGTGGAATTGTTTTATTTATGAGAGATTCCGACTTGAGAAATCGCCCCCTTTCTTATGATTGAAAAGACATTAGCCGCAAATATCACGAAATTCCGCACATTTCTTGCCTACAGCTGGCTTCATAGTTGATCTTCAACTTTAAGGTCTGCTTAGTATATATATATATATATAGTGAAGGCGTACTTATTGAAGGAGTCACTCACAGTAGTTAAATAAGATGAAATGACGGTTCCGAGTATGGAAAGCATCGTTATTAATCCGAGTTTTGGATCAAAGACGGCAAGATGTACAAATACAATATTTCGAGTTCACAGTAGTTAGTTAACCGAACTTGCCGAGCGATATTTCTCCTGGTAGTAAATAAGTGCGGTCAGGATGACGATAGACGTAAGCTTCATTATCCCACTTCAACGCTGTGTAATACAATAAAAACGTTAGACTCTAGATCTGCCTTGGACCTTAAATTTCTTTCAACTCGGGCCAAGTCACTAGCTCAACACGTTTGAACTGGGTTTTCTCTTCTAATGAAAGCGAGCCCAAAGTGCCGGTTAGTCTCCCTTTAAAAGTTTTCTCGGGGAAATTTAAGGCGAAGGAAAGGAAGCTAGAAATCTGACAAGAAAGTGATAAAACAGCTTCTAATGCGTCCAACGCTAAATGGGTATCGTTTTTTCGGAAATCCAGTGGTGTCGAGGAAAATCCTTCACGGAGACAGAATGATGGAGTAAGAAAAGAATTTCCTCCGTTTACTCAGCATATTTGAAGCGGGAATGAAGCTTATGTCACGTACGTGACTCACTGTGGATCGGATAAGATGAACGTGAAATGTTTGATATCAGTTAAGCCTACTCGACAGAAAACCATTTGAGGCGTAAACGGAAGAGTCTATGATTTTAAAAAGTAAGTTTTTACTTTTTCTCTGGCAGACATAAATACTTCACTAATTATAATTACCATTTGGAAGAAATTGAAAATATTTAATTCAGAGTAAAAAGTATCTTAATTTGAAATGATGAGAATATGTAGACCGCTTGGCACTTATGAAATACATGGAGATATAGAAATATAGATAAGTTGTAGTATATAATATATATAAATTTTTCCGAATTTAATTCCAAGGGTCTTTCGCCCGGAATAACCTCGTTCCCAAGCACTATAACTTATCTATATTTCTATATCTCCATTAATTTGAAATGGTGTAGAAGTCACAGGATATAGCCATTTCTTAATCTTGTTGGAAAATTAAGGATACATGTGTTTCACTATTGTTTTTCAAAGAAAAGAAGTTACGAGAGGAGATGAGTTGAGAGAAGAGGATCGACACCCAGGCCACATCAACAGCTGTAACAATGGAGTATGGGATGCCTGTGGTAAAATCCGCTGACCACATGAGCCCGTTGTACTTTTTTCCTTCTTCAGAGAAAAAAAGAACAGAAGAAGAAAAGTCTTCAGCTTTTGTCTTTTTAGCGCTTCTTTCTTGATATCTTAACAATAACTATGACTCACAGAGGAAGTACTTCAGGCATGGGTTCTAATCAAGGACCTGGCTTCGTTGGAATCAAGTTTTGCCAAGAATGGTGAGTGTCGAAAAAAACAACATGGCGTCTACACTTGATGACAAATGTTTAGATAAAAGTCTTCCCTTTAAGCTTAGTTTGCTCGTTGAAAAGCTACTATAAGTCAACGACTTGGACTTAGTTTTACAAATTTGTATTATTTTGATTGGTGACTTTGAGGTAATTCATAAAAACTTAAAAACATTAACAAACTTGCTGACTAGATAATTTGTTCCCAGAGAGAAGCTTGATTTGTTTGAAGTTCGTATTTTTAAAGGAATTAATTTTCTCTTGATTTTAGTAATAACATGTTGTACCCAAAAGAAGACAAAGAAAATAAAATATTGCTTTACGCTGTAAGTATAAACCTAGCTACCATACACATCAATACAATGCAATGTATATCCCTTATTTTCTAATGACACTTGACCTTCTATAGGAATTTCTAATTCCCTCTGTGGGTGGGGTATGGATATTTTCTGGACCTACACAATACAACACATTGACTGACTGCTATGTAGGTTCTCCAGTGAGATCATAAGGAATCATGCTTTTATCACCTTGCATTTACCTCCATCAATCAATACATTTTTGTAATCATTTTAGTGCCGTAACTGTGACTACCAACAGGAATCAGATAACACTTGTATTTACGTCAACAAGATTACCCATGAAGTCAAGTAAGTGTGTAATAAATAGGAAGCAAAGGGCCAATCAGATTACTTTATTCTTATCCACACCATGCTATAGTAAAGAAAATTACCGGAAGGGAGACAAAAATCACTGTGAGTTAGCAGGAGATTTGTTTTATCGAGGGTAGGAGTTACCGAGGGTAAAATTACAGTATAGGTATGATGCAAATCTGGGGGAAATCAATTTTGGTTCAAGTTAGCATGAGCTTCAAGTTACCAAGGGTTTAAGATTCCACTGTATTGACACACCATCCAGTCTACTCTGTTGCCTGATAAAGACTAGCATTTTGCAGTTGTAAATGCTGTGGTCCTTCTACATTTATTACAATTTCCATGATGAATAATATTTTTCATTCTAAAAATCTATTGCTCCAGTTAAAAATAGTTGGCACATGAGAAAAATTCACAATAATTATTCCTTTTAGCACCAAATAAGGCTAATCCAAATGGGTGTGTATCTTAGTTACAAAATTGCTATTCAACCAAATTAAATCTTTGTTTCAGTGAAATGACACAAATAGTTGGAGATGTCGTAGCTGATCCAACTCTCCCAAGAACAGATGATCACGAATGCAAACAGTGGGTTTTAAATTATGTAATACTAGTCTTTGTCATTGGATGCCATCGACCTAGCTGTTCTTATTTGCATGCTAAATTATGCTATTTATCTAGTATTTATCTACTGTATTTCTTATTCTATGCAGGTGTGGCAACAGAGAGTCAGTATTTTTTCAGTCACAGTCAATAAAAGCAGATGTAAGTTTGAGTGTATTCTATATATGTTGGTTCTTAATTACAATTATTTTTTTCTTAATTACAATAATTGTATTAAAGAAAAAAATAATTGTAATTAAGAACCAACACATATAGAATTTATTATTTTTCGGTAGTGCTTTGAGATAAGCGATATGTTAATATTATTGTAAGTAAAAAATTTAAATAAATGTGCAGTGAATTGTGATTTTGTTTGAAAAAAGGAGATATAAAGGTTGGTGGTGTTGATGAAGATGATGGTGGTGGTGGTGGTGGCAGTGATGATTATTGATATTGACTAATGGAAGATGGTGATAATGTTAGTAATAATGTTAATGTTACTTGTTGTGATGCTGATGCTGATGCTGATCATGGTTATTGATATTGATGATGATGATGATTATGATAATGGCAATGATGCTTGTTGTGGTGGTGTCAATGATGATTACAATGATGATGGTTCTGATGATTATTGATGATGACCAATGATGATTGAAGATGATGTTAATGATATGGTGATGATACCAGTAAGCATTTCGTAATAATAGGATGTTTTCATGATGGCGTCATTTGACTCCCGCTACCATAATGCTTTGCAAATTTTCTTATTTAAATTTGTATTCCCTCATGAGAATAGTAAGACARTTGGTGCTAACTAACTGAACAARAGAAAGTGTGCAAGGGAGTCTGGTAGTAGAGGTTAATGACGTCATCATGCGAATGTCCTATAACTATAATTTTTATATGTATTTTGATAATAATGGTATTTATTTTGATTCGCAGCAAATGATCCTGTACTATGTCTGTACTTCACCAGATTGTGGTTTTAAATGGACTGACTAAAAATTCCAAAAACTGCTCAAAACAGAAATTGTTTTTATAGTTGTGCTACCAGCCTCTTCTAAACCATTCCTGGCATCAGTACTACATAATGCCTTTCCTTTACTTCAGTAAAATCATTCATCTCATGGTTTAACCCAAAGAACATTTCCAGTCACATATTAACAAAATCTCCATCTTCATTGAACAGAATATTTTTTGATAATATATTTAGCTTTTGATTTTAATTTTCATTACCTCAAAATTGGAATGTTTGTAATGAACAGAAAGACATTCTTGGGGGGGGGGGGGGGGGGGGGGGGGGGGGNGGGGGGAGGAGGTGGGGGGAGTTTTAGAGCTAGGCCAATCAGCAAAGTTCCCCCCAAAAATGGTGGTCATACCTCTGTTTTGAGCATGCAGGGAAGTTCTTTCTCATCTTTAGTAAACTGTTCATTACATTTAGGGAGGGTCTTGAAAATTCAACTGAAAATGTGGAGAGGGCATCTATGTTTTATTGCAAAGAATCCCTTTCCAATTCACATCTTTTAAAAGAATAGACTTTCCCTAAAAAGTTACATAATATTAAGGTAAAACCCTACTTATCTTCATCTAGTGATGAATATTTATGTCCAGTAATCAACATCAAATATATTAATGTTTGGCTTTCTTATTTTCCTATAAGTGTACATATCTCATTTAAAAGGACTAAGGGCAACATATGTTACATCATCACAAGACTTTTACAATGCTTTCTGACTCCGTTAATTGAGGTTCAATTAAGCAATAATCAATGCTTAGCGTGCGTAAATCTATTTATGGTGTACGCGAATAGTTGGGAGAGCACGATGGTAGCGAGGAGTTGCACGAGGCGGAGCCGAGGCAGAGTGCGTGTTATATCTTAGTTATGTTATAATATTATATTTATAAACTATCCTTAATAAAAGTACGATCAAACACAGAATTTTAAGTCAACTATATTAATATTTAAATGATGTATTCTGTGTTGCTTACTTGTTTACCTTGGTTACCGTTGCTATGTTCTACTAGATCAACAAAGAAATTAGCTAGGATATCTCTGAATTTAAAACTGATCACTGAAAAATGATTATAAATTGTTTCAATTTATGTAATAGTTTACTGTCCTGTGAAAATTAAAAGAATAGAAAGTTGCCTCGTATTCCTTGTAGCACTCTTTAAAACAGACACTTGTTTGTGGGACAAGCTTTAATTCCACTGAGTAAACTGCCTCACTGACGATTGGTTCGGTATTGTCTGATTACAATCCATAAATCGCCAAACCTTCGGACATATTGGGGTGATATTGGCCATCCTCATAGCCATGATATCTAACAACTTACAGCCGCATCCTATTAAATATGCCAGAATAACTACGTTTCATGATGTCCGTTAAAAAAGTCAACTAGCAAAACTGAACAAATTAGCAATGATAAGAAGGTAAATTATACGCCGTGAAAAGATGTATAATTTACCTTTTATCATTACTGTTTCATTAGAAACACCGACGCAGCTCACACTAGTTTTGAGCTAGTTATATCTTCTTTGAACAAATTAGCGCAAAGTTTTGTAGGTCTACTAAAATTATTAATTTGTGAAATTTCTTACGATTTTTTTACGGATATATGGTTTGCACTCTACCATAATGGTGCAAGTCCCAAGAAGGTCTTGATCTCCGCATTCATGATCTTTGCGTCTTTTTTCGTCTTGTATGCAACTTTGCATTTACATCGCCCTATCTATGCAACATTACCTGCAACAGCTATACGCCGTGTTTCAGAGTGTTACTGCTGTAATGCCGTGTCACTAACAAGACGCAAGGAACAATATACATGTCCACTACAGTGTTTAACAACCTTAGGTGTAATTCTTTCACTTTCTCTAATATTAGTAAATTCTCTTCATTATAATCTCTGTATTTCATACAACATTATTTGGCCTCTTTGTCTTGTGTGTTGATTGGAGGTAAGGAAACCACCTTGGATTCAGCAGGGCTTTCATTCTTTTTCTTCTCGTTTTGTTTCTTACTCTTCTTGGATTTCTGGGATAAAAATAATCAATTTTTAAATAAAGATATCGTGTGTGATTTACAGCTTTCTGATTGGCTGATTGATGTCATTTAGAGGTTATGCCATTTTCGTGCAAACGACTCAACCAATCAGAAGGCATTGCCATAACACCATACAGCCATGGACAACTTTCAACATGACATTCTGGACTGGGCTTCTGGACTTGTTATAACGTGAGAAGAGTTTGTTAATAAGCTCTCTCTTGATTTTAGGCGGGGTTTTTGTCCGGGTTCTCTGGTTTTCTTCCCTCAGAAAAACCCCTCACGCTAAATTCCAATTCCATCAGTTAACCGTTGACTTTCAGATCGGCCAAGACGTGTTCTTTCAGCATTTTATGATCATATATGATAAAATTTGAACTCGCACAAGTATCCATACCTTACTGTTATGCAAGCCTGTATCAGGGAAATAGGATCTTTGTGTCGTAGTGATCTGCACAAGTCTTTCTAAAAGCTTTCGATTCTCTCTGTCAATTAGCGCCTGACGTCTCTCCTCCGCCTGTCGACAAGAGAGAATCAAACAATTGACGTTTGTTCCGAACTTCTTAGTCGTTGAGTTGATTTATGATACTTGGAGATTACGTATATGCGTCGGATATTCGAATGGAAGAGTGAATAGAACTTCAAGTGGGGTCAAATGTAAGGAACTACTTTGATTTATATCTAGATAGAAAGTGAAGTGCAAAATAGAAAAGCAATTCTGTAAGGCGTACACAACTGAGAGAAGTCCCGTGTGAATTCATATTGAGTGGAGTTTCATCCCTTTCCATGTTTTGGGATTTTTTCCTTCCATCCTCTGGATTTTGGTTTTCCTCCCTCCACAAAAATCAAATTCCATACTCCAATTCGTTCGGAGGTGCGCTTTGGCCGTGAGCATTTCCTGTGTAATCAAAGGAAAAAAAGTCGCATTCGCGCGCGTTTCACTTGTGTCTTCACCTTTTATCGCTCACAAGCTTGTTTGACCTATTTTAACTAAAGTCTAAGGTATTTTAGCTTGCGCCACTTGCATGGCGTTTCTTGTACAGAAAAACAATTTTACAAAATTAACAAAGAACAAAAATAAGTTACTATTGCTCGTCGCATTTTCATCTGTAGCTGAACTTCCTCGTAGTTGAAGTTTAATCTGTTCTGGTCTCGCACTGTTCCTTTGATTTGATCTAACTATTGAAAAATAAAGGATAAAAAAGTTTTGAATACAGTAAATAACTATCTCTAAAAGATACGTAATAATGAACCTTCAAATCTTTAGCAGAAAATCCTCATTGAAAAGAGGAAAAAAAAAAATGCTTTCATGTTTCGTCAACATGGCTGCCCATGCATCAATAATCGTTACTGGTGGGCTGGGATTTTCAACTTACAGGACTATTTTTGACTGGAATCTAAAGACAAAAACCCCAAAATGTCTCAAGTTTATATTGTTCTTCGTTAAACCTCATTTTCAGAAAACAATGGTAAAACCGCGAATAATATTTTTTTCTTTTTTGAAGTGAAGGCGCTAATAAATCAAAACACCGGATTTCAATGCAAAACATCACCTATGTTTTTAGCACATTCTATTTTAGAATTTCTTGATCATTATATGTGACGAATATTAGTAAAAATTGGTCAACTTGCAGATGGTCCAAAAGTACTTTTAAAATTTACGTGGTTCAAATGAAACTTCACTTCAGAACATCGATTTGCGTTTTAGTTGAATTTGAATTGAACTCTGGAATAAAAAAAACAAGATGCCAGTTATTGAATATATTGCTTTAGCTTGTCTATAAAAACAAGATGGTTTCTTATCGCATGAAGAATATTGATTTTGATATTTCTTCGACGTTTTATATTTTCACACGCTTTGGGTTTTCACCAAATGTACTAGGGTGTTATATATAGTCAAGTTGAAAAAAATATTTGAAAAATAAAATAAATATACTTTTAGGTTTACATAATTATGTTAGGCTAATATAGGATTGTATATACGTTTTGTAAAATAAATTTAACAAATGTACATTACACAAGACGCTTGCAAAACTTTTATTGGTCATTACAATATTACTTTAATAATCTTAAATCATGTTTATCCTGAAATAACAAAAACAAAAAGTATTTGTTCCACAGTTAAGTCACCTAAATAATGCATAATCTTAGGTAATCTTAGTTGAGGATTATTTCAAATCATGCGTGCAAATTTAAAGTTAAGATCTCCTAGCGAAATCTTGAGCAAGCTTTGTATCAATCAAAGGCGTTATACGATTTTATTCTTGTAAAGCTAGTTAAAGTTTTCTATATTCTATATTATACCATGTCATCACATAAGTAAAGAGATTTAGACTCACTCTTTTCCTGTGCTTTTCGTATGTTATTTTCTGCCATTTTTTGTCCAAAATATCATTTCCAGGAACAATGGAAGTCTCCATTTTCTTTCTTCTGTTGTTCGTAGGGAATTGTAACATGCTATTAAAACATATACTGTCGAAAATCACTGATGTTTCTTCATCACAACCAAGTCTGGGCAGACATGCTGCTGCTCAAGAGGGCAAATCGGAAATGTAGACTCAAATGTTCTTTATAAAGCAAATTATTTCCCTTCAAAATGGAATACTTTATCCCACGTATAGTTTTTTTATTCACCTGCAGGGTTTCCGTCCTAATATACCATTTTCTAGTCTAAAATACTTTGTTACTCGCTATGGCGACAGTGGATTTCAACACAAGCCGAAGCAGTGAATAACAAATGAATTTGAGGTGACTATGATTTGACATGCGAGGCGGTGGCTGTTTGCACACTTCAGTTAATGCTCTGTCATAAGAAGAGGACCTTATTGGTTGATTTGCCAAGTAAGCATAACTGTGTCTTGACCGTTAGATCTATGTAAATAATAGTTTAGTTGAGGCTGAAATGGCTTACAAACTGTCACAATTCATAGATTCCCGGCATCTTAAAAACAGCGATTAGTTTATGCGAATAGTTTGCTTTCCTGTTCGAGCCAATTCAAGTTAGAAATTTCTTTCTTTAATAAGTTCATTATCCAACATATATCTTGAAGCCGGGGACAGCGGAAATAAAAAATAGAATGTTTGGGTCTTTCTTGGCGTAGCAAGCTTCATTGTATTCTGGGTTACGTTCGGGTTTTTGTATTCCAGGATATTGTTTAGCTCCAAACTCATTGTTCTCGGCTATTGTTTTATTGTCTTCATGGCTCAGGTGCCTTGCAACACCAAGAAAGAGCCAATATTTCTGGCACGACTTCACGGAGAAAACTATACAAAGTTTTCCTGATGATGCAACTGCTTCGGGGCAATAAAATTATACAAAGGAAGAAAAGATAGAATGAAGAAAGATCGAACAAAGAAAGAAGGAAAGACTGTAAGAAAGCAAGAAAGGAAGGCTGTACTGAAAGCCTTTGTTTCTATTGCCTTTCTCAACTGGAAGCTTATGGACAGCGGTACGTTTAAACCGAGAATGCGCATTTTTCCATCGTCATAGTTTTTCTTTACGAAGGATAAATATCATAACGCACCAAACATCACGGTCAAACACATTAGATTGTACCACACCACACCACACCACACCACACCACACCACACCAC